ACAGGGGGGAAGGGGCGGGTTTGATTGGTGAGAGGGAGAGATTGAGCAGGGCGTAGCAGGTTGCTTAAGTAGGCGCTTGTTTACATGCATACATTTGTATTTAACTTGGGCCAGAAAGAAGCAGTGGAACCATAAAATAGTTAGTTCATACCCTTCGGCAGGAAGTCTATTAATGGTTTGTCCGAAAGAAGGAACTATACAGGATATTGATAACCCAAGACCAAGTCATGCCGATCAGGTTGGAAACAATATGTTCATCAGATTACCATCGATACCCATTTCACCCATCAAACATATTCTTTATCCAGCTTAAAGCGTATTCATATGTGTATTTATCTAATATAGAGCACAGCGCAAAAGACTCCCCTGGCTACATTATTTTTGCTACACTCCAAATATTTTGTTATTTTTTCGAGACATCGTTTGCTTGGCAAATGAAGCCTACTTATAGGGGATCTTGATTTGGCAGTGCGTAAATATTATACGTGTGTATGTGTATGTTCGTGTGCGTGTGTGCGTTTGTGTTTTGGTTTGTGTGTATGGTGGGCTTATTTCCGGCGTGGCATATCTCGTTTTAGATGCGTGCCACAGCAATCTCTTTGTGTTGCGTTTCGCGTTTTCCTGTCATAAATGCTGCCGCCGAACCTTTGTTACGTTTCCGTTTCACTTTTATTTTAATAATTCACCCAGCATTTATGGTATGTACACACATACTTTTATTTATAAGTGCCTGCCGTCCTGCCAAACTGCCACCATGCCACCCTGCCTTTCACCTGCCCATCCGACATCCCATTGTACACGTCATAAATCTCATTTTTTCCGTTTCCGTTCTGCCGAACCATCGTCCGGCCTTATGGGTTCTGTTCTCCTTGGGTACACACGACTACATACAATATATGGGGGGTGGTGGCACTGGCCCATCAATGTAAATTAAATAATTGCTAGAAATATTCGCAAATGTCCTGAAATCAGTTACTTAAATGTGACACCTGACAACCAGATTTACCATTGCGCCCTGCCCACTGTCATCCTTTTATATGATTGCGTAAACTTCCATCTTAAATCTCTGGCAACAAGTGCAATTTACGAATTCCACTTTCAGGCCGTTAGCCCATTTTCAAATCGTAAAATGAAAATTGCCCACGAAAAATCATTCTCTCTTTTTTCCCTACTTTGAGTGGGTTTTCCTTTCGACTCTTATACTTCCATTCAGCAGGAATTTCCCAACGAAGGAAGAGTAAATTTCCCTTAAATGAAGGTTTCACTGGAAGTCGCGATTTTCTCTCAATGAGTGAGTTCTATATGTGCTCTCTATATTTTCTCTCTTGCTGGGGGTACATTTTCTCTTTCGTTAGCAGCTACCGAGTCATAAAATAGACTTGGCTGCTGGTGCGGCAGCTGTGGCTGTGTGCTGCCTCTGGAAACATTTGTGGCCTACAATTGTATGAGATTTCGGTACTTTAGTGAGTGAAAAGTTTGGTGGCAGGTGGATGATTTCCGACCTCTCACACCTGCCACAATTGCCAGAACATTACATGTTCTGTTGGATGGGGGAGGTGTAGGAGGATGGGGGAGGAAAACGTACAGCTGAATGAAGTGGGTTTTTCTTAATTGTTCAATTATAATAGTTCAGCATCGATTTAACTCTGGAAAGGGACTGGGATTGGAATTGGATTGGATTGGGATCTCGCTCCCCGTTTCGGTAATTCATTTAATTTGTTCTTTTTCCTTCTTTTTTTTGTTTTAAATAGAGAAAACAGTAAAAAATATATTGCACATTTGCATTTGTTAATTGGCCTTATTTGCTTTCAAACATGACCAATGGCGGTTTATTTTGCATGGCTTCCTTTTTCTTTTCGCCAGTGACATGGCAGATATATTTTTGGATTGCGCTTCACTTTTGCATACTTAGCGGCGTCTGGGTGCGGCATTTGTGTCAAGGGATGACAAGTGCCCAAAACACCCAACAAAAGAGCAATACAACAATGGAGACAGCCATAGAGGGGATCTCCACTGTGCCATCCCAGGCGCTGAGAAAAAAGTTATGACACACCTACAGCATTTAATCTGACGTCCTTGTAGTGGCTCTCTCCGTCCAGTGAGTGATAACCATCAATCAAGCTGCTGCCGGGACCGGGCACGGGCACGGGACGCCCTGGTTAGATGGTAGGCGTTACATCGGACGACGCTGGCTTTTGCCGGAGTTGCCGCTGCCGCTGCCGTCGCAGTCCTCTGTCACGGAGGAGTTCATTTCAATCATTAGCGTGCCAAGTCAGGCAGCTCCTGTTGATGCTGTCAAATTAATAAAGAGCACTGCCTGACCAAGGGTTTCGGTGAGTTCTGCAGGGGCGGAGCAGACAGCCATTCTATGCCTAGTGCCAGCCTCCCCAGCCCCGCTCACCCATTACCAATCCCCCACACGCTCCAAGTCAGCGCAGCGTATACGCTCTGGTCCGGCCCTAGCGCTCATAATGCCCATAAAAAATTTGTCATCATTAGCCGAAGCGAATGACAATGACGGCCCAGTACGGCTTGAGTCTGTTCTTGTGTGGCTGTTGCTAATCTATCAATGTGTGTGTTTGTGTTCATGTGTATGCCTGTGTGAATGCGGGGAGACACTTTAAAAGATTGCCCTGCCTCGGCCCTTTTTGGTGCATATTAGTCAGGAGCTTAAAGCGTTCGATTGATTGATTATGCATTTGGGAGGGGGGTGTTGGGGTGTAGGACTACGTTTACCCTGGCTCGGGTTTTGGTCAAAGGTTTAGAGTCTCTTTAAGGCTTTAAGCTGGCCATTAAGGTTATTAAATCTGCTTCTTTATACTCAGGCGAACATGTGAGTCTGCTGGTGTGCTGGTGTCTGCGGCGTTATGTGGGCTATTAGAAAAGATAATGGATTGCGAATATTAATTTCTTTGCATGACGAAAAGAATCAACAAAGAACAATGCGTTTAATCTTTATAGACACGCAGCCATGAGAGAGTAGCGCAGAGCAGAGCAGAGGAAAGTCGAGAAAAGCCGAGCAAGAGTTGGGAACGGACAATACGTTGTGCCAATAATGATAACCGGAAGCCATTAAAGGAAGTTTCAATACAAGAAACACTCACACACACACACACACATGAATAGCTCCAATGGCAGCTTGAGGCATTCTTCCTTTCCTTTCCTTCCTCTCTCTCTCTGTGTTTCTGTGCAAGTGTGTGCGTGAGGATGTTTTTGTTGCTGCTGTTGGTGTGTCTGTTGTTTGCCTTCCATTCCCACATTGAATCGTGGTCGTCGGCAGCAGCGGCAATATTGTAATTTTTATTCCTCTTTGTACCATTCATGCGGCAAGGCGGCAAGGCGTCAAAGGCATCAGGCACCAAAGGCAGCCGGGGCTGCCAGTCGAGCGTTCAATTCCCTTTCAATACGGAAGTAAGTAAAGGTGGGCGGCAGGCGGCATGCAACAAGATCCGAACGAAAGCCGCACACGCACCTTGCAATCTTGCTAATGTTTTTCTATACGGGGAGCAGCAGCAGCAGCAGCAGCAGTAGCGCGTCTTAAGATTGCCGACGCTGCCTTGACTGCAGTTTGTGCTGGGCAAACAGCCGCCAGGGCGATGCGGAAGTCAAGCAGGAACAGTGGTGATCCGACCCTGGCTTCGGTTCTGACATCGGCTAAGGGTTCCACATCCGCAGTGGCATGTTATGCAGCATGTCAGGCAGACAATTGACTTGATGCGCGGGGTTTTCGTGGGCCTATCTGGGGTAGCTATGAGGCTGAGACTGGGGCTGGAGACCCATCAATGGCACTCGCATTTTCAATTGATTAAACATCAAACACACACACACACACACACAGACACGCATTCCGAAAGAGCATATGTAACGATGTGTGTGTGTGTGTATAGCTTGCATTTTTTACGTGCCGCAACGCAAAAATGCCTGAGAATATTATACGAAAGCATTATGTTGATGCCGATATACTCGCACAATATGAAATTCCATTGCATTTTATAGGCAGGAGAGAGAAAAAAAAAATACGAAGGGAAAGGCTCACACAAACACACGGACACAGAAGCACTCACACAATGGCAGGCAGTAAAAACCTGCGGCAGGCCATTGTGAGGCATAAACAAAAGATGCAGCAGATGGAAGGGCGGAGCGGAGCTGCTGGATCGGCCAGAATAACAAAATACCGCAGACAAAAACCGAAAGCTGTTGGAGCGTGCAAAAGGTGAGGTGAGGCCCGTCCCGACCCGCCCGGCCCTATCACATCACCCCCGCCCTTGAGTCACCGCCCCGGGCTTAGGCACGGGTAAACTACAAGTACAAGTGAGTAGTTTTACTGGGGATTGGCCTTTAGAAATGTGGCAAAGTAAAATTTATAGCTTGGAAATTAATAACAAAGGGCACACAATGAAACAGCAGCAGAGGAGAATGAGAGAATGAGAGGGCCGCCTTCACCGGGCGGTGACTAATAACGTTCCGCACTATGAAGTGTATTAGACAACAGTGCGTATGATGAATGCTATCGAAAGAGTCTCGAAACAAAGGCGAATAATTGTGTATGAAATGGGTAGCGAAAAAGCAGACTGATAGTGTGGAGTGTGGGAACAAAGGCAACGTAAACTATACTGTAGGTATTATTATTGGGTGGTTGGATAACCCAAAGCGAAATAGTCTTTCTTCCATTCTTTCATTCTTTTTGCTTTCTTGCATTCCCCTTTGTTGAGCAACAATGAGTGCTGGTCCTGAATCGTAGCTCCCATTTAATATGGATGCATAGCTTAGATTAAATTAGACACCAGCCACTAGAAAAATATTCAGTTATTTATGCGAAATTGCTACGATTAAAAAATCAATTTCCATTTCTGTTTAATATCGCTGCAAATGATAATTATCCAGTAATGTGGATGGATAATTGCAGTGCATTTCCAGTGGATTACAGCCACAACAAATGTATATTTTTTACTATATAAGCGCAAGCTCTGGACGTATCCTTTAGTTACGATTATTACACCATGAGTAGTCCTGTGGCAGTGAATCCATCCAAGCGCTTTCGCGAGCTAACCCAAGACATTAACGTTTGGACCAATCTGTTGGGCGTTGATGTGCTGGCTCCCAAAGTGCAGTTCAATTATCGCACCTGGACCACAACCTTTGCAATTGTCAACTATACGGGCTTCACCATTTTCTCGATGGTCGACAATGGCGGCGACTGGCGGGTGAGCCTGAAGGCCAGTCTGATGTTCGGAGGCCTGTTCCATGGCTTGGGAAAGTTCTTAACCTGCCTGCTGAAGCAGCGGACCATGCGGAGACTCACATTCTTTGCCCGTAACATTTACGAGGAGTACGAGAAAAAATCCGATGTACATGGCCGAACGCTGGACATGAACATCGATCGATTGCTGGGCCTAATGCGAGGTATACGCCACGGATATATGGCCACGTTTTTGCTAATGACGATCCTTCCGATGGCAATGCTCCTGTACGATGGCACTCGGGTCACTGTGATGCAGTATCAGATCCCTGGACTACCGCTGGAGAGAAACCTTTGCTACTCGATCACCTATCTCATCCAGCTGGTGACAATCGGTGTAGCTGGCTGCGGCTTCTATGCGGGCGATTTGTTTGTCCTTCTCGGTCTCACTCAGATCTTGGCGTTTGCGGATATTCTACAGCTCAAGGTTGATGCCCTTAATGCTGCTCTGGACCGAAAGGCCGAAGCCAGGACTTTGTTTAGTGTGGGTGCGCACATAACAGGAGAGGAAGAGCGACAGGAGCTGCTATTGGATGTGATCAAGTGGCATCAGCTATTCACGGAGTAGGCACAGAAAATCGATAGATAGATTGGCATACAAATTACTCATATATTTCTGCTCCAGCTACTGCCGCACTGTGAACGAACTCTACCATGATCTGATCGCCACCCAGGTGCTGTCTATGGCCGTGGCGGTGATGCTCAGCTTTTGCATCATACTGAACAGCTTTCACATGCCATCGGCCATATACTTTTTGGTCTCAGCCTACAGCATGTCTGTCTATTGCCTGCTGGGCACCAAAATTGAATTTGCAGTTAGTACTGGTATTTATATATTCTGGATCCTATCCACCAAATTTCTATTTATATTTCACAGTACGACCAGGTCTACGAGACCATTTGTAGTGTGGCCTGGCAGGAACTTAGCTGCAGCCAGCGCAAACTGTTGAACCCGATGCTGCGAGAGGCACAGAATCCGCAGAGCATTAAACTCCTTGGCATCCTGCCGTTGTCCGTGAGAACTGCCCTGCAGGCAAGTCGGGGACAAGCTACCGAGAGTGCAGCTAATGCAATTTGTTTGCCTTTTGTCTTGCAGATAATAAAACTCATTTACAGCCTCTCCATGATGATGATGCAGAATCGCACTTAGAAAGCAAGCACTGGACTCCACTTTCCTTATATTAAATCACTTTTTATTAAATTAATATAATTCCTAGGCCATGGGCACCTTTCAGTGGCACATATTTAAGTATTTATCCATGGTAATGGCAGAATGATTTCCATTAAAAAAAAAAGTTTAAGTTAATCCAAGTTTGAAACACTTTCAGAATAGGATTTAACTTTTTTTCGGTTATGCATATTTGGAAAATGGCTAAAAGCACCTCGACCATGATGAGCTCGTTGCCTGCCTGCCAGGATTCCGGGATCGGGGCGGGATAAAGGAAGCGAAGCGCCCCCTGCTGCACATTAACCTTGGCCACTAATTACCAACGCACACTGCTGAATTTATGGCATTGGGCTTATAGTAGAGGCCCCCTGACTCGAATGCATTAATTGTGCGTCTCATTAAGAGGCAGTTCTTATGCACAAAACATTTAATATATTTCGCATATACGCATAAAAATTTAATTTATTTTTGAAATGGTCCGGTTCTTGCTGTTTGGCAAGCCAGCCAGACATTAATAGCCCCGGCCAGGCCATGATTAATGCGCATTTTATAAATGTGGTTGGGACGCTGCTGCTTGGACGCTGGGATAAAAAATAATAATCATTATTGTAACGTTATAATAATGCAGTAGTAATCAAGTGTGCTGTTGTTTTTGCTGTTGCTGTTATTGCCCCTGTCCAATGAACATAAAAAGCGTAATGATTTTAATAAAATCAACAGTCAGGAAGGTCAGCATAAGCGGCGGAAGGAACAGGAGCAGGAGCCAGAGCAGGAGCAGGAGCAGGAGCAGGAGCAGTGCGAGAGCAACAGTTTGGACAACGCACTCAACGACCTTTCGGATGCGAAACAAACGCAACAAGCGGGAAATTTACGAGCATTTCACATTCCATAATTTACTTATTTTCCATGAGCTATTTAATTACGAGTATGCTAAATAATGGCCGCAAGGGGTTGAGTTTTGTTTATTTATTTATGCCCCAATGATCGTAACACCGAAAGCCATTCGAAAGTTGAGCAAAATTTAATTTCAACAAGCGGGAAATTGGTAAAATATTTTAATATTCCAGCAAAGAGATCTACAACCCATAACTTTCAACCCCATTGTGTGTATTTCTATTAAATTCTAATCTCAGTGCCGATTTCCAGAAATTTGTCCATTAAATTCCACAAAGAGCGCGGATATGTGTCGTTAATAATCGTACCCCGATAACTTGGGTCTGGATGTAAGCACTAAACTATGGGCAGATTTCCATACTTAATTTTTGGCATTGCCACCCCTTCGAAAATGCGACTATGACTAGTTAAATATGCCGTCAGCTGTACACTTAGTCCTTCCTTCACATAAAGTATCCTTTAGAAGCTGAACGGAGACCAGCCTGATACTTAGCCTGATGGTGTTGGGGAGACAGAATTATCCGCAAACTAAGTATACAACTGCTGGGCGTGAGACTGGAGGTCTCCCAGCCCATCCTGTTGCAGCTTCCGGGAACACGACTAATGCAATTTGTTTGCTTGTTGGCTTGCAGATAACAAAACTCATTTACAGCCTGTCCAAACTACTGATGCGGAATCGCACCTTGGCGGCAAGCACTCTACACTCGACGCTCTTAACGTCAAAGCACTTAATGTCAAATGCAGCGGCAACAACCACAACAACAGCAGCAACAACAACAACAGCGATACATTTTCTAATTCTTGTGCTGAATCATATTTAGAGACATGCCAGTTGTGAGTGAGAGTGACTGGGGGTAGGGGAAAGGCGTCGCGACGTCAGCTGGCCTGGCAAATAAAATAAATTAGTTGCAGTTGAAAGGTGGCTCAGACACAAAAGTCAACACGCAACGCGCGATGGAACCGCAAACAAACGCCAGCTGTTGGGCGCAGATAAAATGGTGAGCAAACAAGCCGAAGAAGGAGGAGGAGGAGGCGGACGAGCAGCCAGCGTTGCCAGACGGTAGATGGCCCATGGAAGACGGTGGCGGGACCGGAACCGGGACCTATGGCAAATCAGCTGCCAACGCAGTGCAGCTTACTGGCAAATATTAAAATGCGAATTTTTATGCTCGCTGACACTTGCGCCCTACTCTACGCCTGACCCCAGAGCCAGCCAGCCAGCGCCGCTCCATCGCTAACGTCTACTTCTTGAAACATAATTCTCACAATGCGGGAAATGGAGGGACTGCTCTGCGTGGTGGCTCCTGCTTCTACTCCTGCCGCTGCCGCTGCCTGGTGGATCCTTTGCCAGCATTTTCCTGCCGCGTGCGCACATAAATTAGCTGCCAAGCTAAGAAATGTTTGCGGGCAGCAAAGGTTCCCTCGTCCCCTCTCCATCCCCACGCCCCATTGTTGTCCCAACGCCCACTGCGGTTTGTTGCGCTCTGTTTATGCGGGTGGCAGGACTGCGCCGGGTGCATTAAACCAATAAATCAGCGAGCCACTGAAAAAAACATAGTGTTGTCAGGCACTCGTTGAGGCGCCATCGCCGCCCTGCATATTTAATCAATATGGAGAGCACAAAACAGGAATTAATCTTGCCACTTTTTGAGCGGCGCACATTTTTGCCATCCTCTACCACGATGTGGTGTCCACATCATCCCACGCCGTTTAAGCCACACGGAAAAAAGGCATTTTTAATTTAGAGAAATTCTTGCGGCCATAAAAAGCATGTCGGGCAAATCAATTAAATTTAAATTGTATCCCATTAGAGCCACATTAAATGAGTTAAGTCATTTGGGGGACCGTAACCGCGTGCCGCGTCTTAGCCTTCTTTTATGCGGCTTTGAAAAGGGTACAAATGAATTCATTTTATTTTTTGACGCACATAACTGCGCCTGCCCAACCGAACCCCTAACACCCAACACCATCAGCATCAGCATCCCCATACCCATACCCATCCGTAGCATCCCCATCTACTGCTGAACGCAATTAAAATGCCCACGAGTTACTAATTTGCCATGAAACGGCGGGTGGCGTGTGGCGGGTGACGGTTGGTGGGTCCCAGGCTGAGGTCCTAGCCCCGAGGCGCTTCGGCCGAATCCCGATTTAAAAATGTTGCCGAAATTTAAGAGTTGATGGCTATTAATTTATATTATGCATGATTTGTGGAGCATTTTTCTGATGGGACAATCGCTTTAGGCTCCCAGTCCGTGGCCCGGCTGTCGGTTCACAGCATTTCCATCTGCATTCTGCGGTAAATGCCATTTGGTATGGGCTCTTGCTTGTGCGTAACTAGAGATATTTATGCAAATGGATGAAATATTTGGTCCATGGCAGTGTCAAGGCTTTAACTAAACTTTAAACGCTTAAATAATTAACGTGATTAGGTCATTGCATGCTAGAGAAATTTATTCATGCACTGATCGGAGTCCTATATACTCGCCGACTCCTCCGCAACTCTGACTCCCTTGAACACATGACTTGAGCATAAATAAATTAGATTAGGCAATCTCGTGTCCTCATGTGAATGGGGGCGTGGCCCGCTGCCATCATTTATTAGCAACGCCCAGAACCGTACGGGCTGTCGCTCGAGATTTGTAGCTACAAGAACACAGCGACAACGAGCGTTACGAGTGGAACGACGACATTACCAGAAAATCTTTTTGCTCATCTGCTGGCATCGTTTGTCGTCGACGCTGATGTCGACGTACTGCAAGCCAATTTCTGCTGATGTCTGCCCGAAACTTCACGCTGGCCAAGTAATTATCGGGAAGACGAAATGATAGTCACAGCCCCACACTTGGCCCACAGCTAAGCAAAGTCGAAGCGTTAATGCTGCGTGTCGAAAGCAAACTTTGATGGCTTAATCACTGTGACAGGAGCGGCAAGCTGTGGGGAGCGCTTGCTCCAGTTTGCCATCAGCTTGTTACTTGGCTTAGTGGGTGGGGGGCGGGTGGTATTTTAAAGTGCACGTGTTTACCAGACAGAGTCTTAAGATGCGACTTCAAAAAACATGTCTCCGTGCGGATGCATTTGGGGAGCGCGACTGGTGCGACACTCGGTGCACAGTCAAAGTCATAAAACCATTTAATTATATTAAACTTTTAATTGCGTAGACAGCTAAGAAACATCCCCACACACACACACACACACACACACCACACAGACATAACCACAACATACACTCACCTCAAAGCAACTCCCAGCATATGCAGGGTGGCAGAAAGGTGGCAAGGTGGCACAGTGCACTGCAGTGGCAAGGCGGCAACCAGGACTGGCAGCGCCACACTTAACCAGGGCAAGTTGCTGGTGCTACTTCTGGTGCTGCTGCTGGTGCTGCTGCTGCTGCTTCTACTTCTGCTTCTTGGCGTGTCTTGCTACTATGTAAATGCAATAATAAAGTTATTAAAAGTGTCATAACAACTCAAGTTGAAATAGCAGAAAGTTTTCACCAGTTTCTTGCTTTATGGCGGGCTCCCGCTCGCCGCACCGCCCACTTGATGATGAGGGTAGCCGTAGCGTTCCAAGAGGACCAAAAAAAACAAAGTCTATGAAGAATCGAATAACGAAGACGACCCGCAGCTCCATGGCCAGGCCAGGCCAGGCAATTGATGTTTAATTGATCAATTAGTTGGTCCCTGCACAAAGCCCACCCACAAAACGCACACCCGCACATACACACACACTCGTACTATGCAAGCCCCTATGTCTGTTTGTCTGTCTGTCTGTCTGTCTGTGTATCTGTTTGGATGCTGTATTGGAATTGCCCACATCAAAGCGGCATATAAGTATATTGACGCTCATCAATCAAATTGATTTATGCCAACAAATCATTCATGAGCAATTTCCCAAAGTGATTATCTCTCCACGAGACGAGAGCAGAGAGACGACCGGAGACGGCCACTGCCATGGCCAACTGCCATGGCCGCCCCATACCCAAAAATAAAGCTCCGGGATGGCAAACGCAAACGCAAAAGGCATGTTAACAGAAGGACATTTGGAAAGACATACCATACCATACCATAGTCGACGGAAACGGTGACTGGGAATGCGACTGAGACTGAGACAGAGACAGAGACATAGACACAGAGAGACTGAGGCACACAGTCAGTCAGCTTCAGTGGCAGTGCCATTGCCATCGCCATTGCCAT